GGAATATAATGTAGTGATCCAATATCTAGGCTGTTTTATTAATAAAAGTCACGGGGTGCGCTGACAATATGTTTCTGTGTGTGCGCAGCGCGATCTGCAATCTCTCTTTCTCTCACTGTGTTTATGTGCGAGTGGTGTGTGCGTGTGTGTGTGTGTGTGTGTATTTGTATGCATCAATTAAAGCAGCGCATTAATGTAGAACAGTGATTAAACTGACTTGGAACTACCTGTGCATTAAACGGTTTTAATGCATACCTGCCAGCCAATCAGATTCAAGTATTGAGACAGACCATGGTAAAAAAAAATTGTAGTATACAATATTTATATATATATATATTGTATACTACCATATATATTAATGAATCTTTTTAATATTTATTATTTTTCTTTATTTATGAATACCATATTCATGGTACATATCATTTGTTTTAACATTTTTAAAAACATTTAAAGAATTATATTTATATATTTTAAATCTTTCTTTTTATTATTTTTTTTATCATTTTAAATTTCCTTTTTTTTTTTTTTTTTTTGAACTATGTCTTATATTTTGTTAGGTTTGTCAGCAGGGGACAGTTTTCTAAGAAGTATGTAGTGTCAGGACCTTGAGCAAAAGCCTTTAAAAATCACCTTTTTCAATTAAAAAAGTCATCTTTTTTATACAATGACCCTTAAATGTCCTGCTTGAACTTTAAAGTTCAATGAATGTATCTGTGCTGTAGTGAAGTGGAGACGTAATGCATCTTGATATTTCATCTTGTTTGTAGGCAATGCTGATTTGTGTCCACATCTGTCATTGTGTGTGTACATTTGATCAAACACCCTACAGTCTCTTTCTCAGGCCCTAAATAATCAGAGTGCTGCTTGTTTATTGCATCTTTTTCACTTGTGGTCTAATGAGTCAGCATAGTTTATTTGACATTTAAGTGTTTTGAAGCAACTGTGTTGGACCAGGGAATCACAAATACAGGTATATATGTTTAAATGGCTAGTTAACGTGTGATAATTTGAACTTAATGTTGTCAAAAGGTTGTCCTCGTGTTCTGGGTGGGCAGGCAGATCTCACTGGGTGATCCTTAATGGATCAAGCAGCATAAACAGCCTTCGTTTAAAGTAAAGACACTCATTTATCTGGAAGGCCACACTTGTTTCGGTAGATTTGATGTGAATCCTGTCTGTCAGTGGAGGAACTGCTGTGCCTTGCTTAAATTACAGTCGGAATGTCCCACAAAGAAAGGTTTACCAGTGTTTCCGTCCAGGTTGAGTCTTTATTAGCTCCATGTGGAGAAAACTGCTGTCTTATCTGTTATCCTCTGGTATCGACTACTTTTTTAGTGGTGTTTTGCATGTGCAAACATCTCTCACGTTTTCTTCAGAACATGTAAATCTAATCCGATATTGAATTTGCACTGCTAATTTTAGAATGAATTCAGTTATACTCCAACGTACACAGTATGCATAGCAAACACTTTCAGCTTAGTCTGAAGTTAATTGACCTTGTTAGCGCAGCTTTGAATGAACCTGTCAGTCGTATGGAAGTGAGATGTACTTTTATTGCATGGTATTCTTTGTGCGTTTGTGAGAAGTGTTTGCATTAGCAGGGCTGTTCTGTTTAAAGTTTGTGTAAGAAAAGTATCTGTGCTTATGACGGGTTTTAAGATTGTTTAAACTGATCATGGCAGGCATGGCTTTACTGCAGTTGTATTATGAATATTGTTAGGACGTTTTTGTTCGCACTGAGCAGTGTAGCAGTTCATAGTTACACTAGCATTTACTTTTGGGGTCTGTAAGTTTTTTTTTTTAGGCTTAAGAAAAAAGTCTCTCTCACCAAGGCTGCATTTCTGTGATAAAAAAATCTGTAAAAACAGC